TTTTTAATTTAAAAAATATTTTTTTTTTTTTTTTTGACCAACCCCCACAGCCCTAACAAAGGGCTGTCCAAAAAAAAAAAAAAAAACCACAAAAGACCATCATTAAAATGACAGTACAATAATAAATAAGTACATTATTTATTTTCAGATTATTTTACGTAGTGTGTGTGAAGCTTTTGGTCGATGAGCGAGAGAAGCAAGATGAAAGTCCCCAACAACAAGTAGTATTAGGGCACCGGGATTACGAAATTGTCATCTTGCAACCAGGGTTTGCCACGAGCTCAGTTTTAATGTAAACCAACAACTGCACTTTAGGGTTGGTTCAATTCTCGGTCCGGCATGATGCAAAAAGTGTCAAATAAGGAGCTGTTGTAAACAGGCTGCCAGTGAAGGCGGCGCCTAAACTCGATGCCAAAAATGCTGCAAATAGTCCAAAATGCGTTGGTGAGATGCACAAGGAACAAGAAATGACAAAGAAAGGTGGAAATGTTTGAAAATTAGCTGAGCTGTTGTAAGTGACTGCCAACTCACAGGTACCTCTTTCAATGAGAATGTAAAAGGAGGCTGGTTCCAGTAACTCAAATGATGTGCTGATTGTTAAACATAGAGGTAGGTAAGTGGATGGATAGCTGGATTGGCAGATATATCAAGAGAAGACGGGTAGATAAATGGTTGGATAGATGGCCAGATTGATTTTACTGACACATATATCCAATACTGTTATGTACAGGACTTGCACAACCAAGAAAGTTGTTGATGCATGCTTACTAATCCGCCTTCCACTTGCCTCTCCTTCCTTGAGCTGCATTTTATTTTTTATTTGTTGCTGCTATTTATAACTCACTGCCACTGTCAAATTTTACTAGACACAACTAACACTGGTCTGATCTGTTCCACCCAGGAGGCCTGCTCCGGCAGCCCCAAACTCCAAATAGGAGGACGCCGCCGCCCGCAGCCCCGGCGACCTCTATCCAGCTGTGCGATGTGTGATCCGTCCCGAGCGCCGTCGTCTGCCGCCTGCACACTTTCGCAAGTCATGAGCTTGTTTTGTACAGACACTACCGTAGGCTGCTGACTTTTCCACAAGTGCCTGAACTTTTTGTGTAAATATACAGTAAATAGCAGTTATTCTATGAACGCGGGGAAAAAAAACACTATTTTATAACTTTTTTAATAATAAAGAGCCATTTTATTTTTCAACATCATTTGTCTTGAGTTTGGAATATCTGAATGACAGCCGAGCATGCTTATTTGCCAATATGTGCCCTGCAATCCACCAGCGGCTAGTTCTTAGTGAACCCCACCTCTGATAGGTAGGTTGGTAGGGTGGACCCCCGCTATTCATGCGGGATCGGAACTGAGCCACTGAATAGCGAAAATCTGCATATAATTGACACGCTAAATACATATTTTTGTCAAACCAAAGAAGTCTTCAAAAGAAACGCTGATGAAGCTCGATTATGCGTTTTTCCATTTTTCAAAAAAACAGGTTGAATTGTTTTTTCTTTTTTTTTTTTAGAGACCTTTATTAGTACAAAATGCTTTTTAGAACAATATTTCATCATAAAACGGGTTCCTAAAGTAGCGATATAGCGCCAATTTCTCCTTGTAGTCATTCACTAACCTATAGTAAGACAGTGGTAAAATCATAATTCTAGTCAATATTTATATAAAAAACACTTCTGGTTATAATTACAAAACAAGCCAATGAAAAACCCCCCGAAGTACTGCGGTAACGGAGTGTGCCTTTTAGTGGCCATATTCTGAAAAGAAGTTTCAACTATGGAGGAAATGTGCTGCCCTCTAGTCAAAATGCTTCAAGCTGCAAGGGGGAGAAAAAGGTTGTTGTCCATTGCATTACACATACAAAATAATTGAGCAAGTTACAGTACGCATGGGAGATTATTTATTACAGTAAAATTTTTCATGTTCAACACTGCAGTAATAAATACATTCTATTTAGTCTCATTAGAACCAGAAATTCTTCACTATTTTGTTACAGCTTTATTTCAGAATAGAACTGACTTAATTTTCCTCAAAATTCAACACACAACACTACAGTGACAAAATGAAAAAAAAAATCAGCAAATTTATGAAAAAAAAACCCGAAAAGAAAGTACGCTGCAGCCCACTGTCGTAGAGGAAATTGAACCCCCCCCCCCCCAAATTAATTTATCGAGGGGCCACTCAATGTGTGGGCGAGGCAGTTGCTCATCACTGCTCTAACTTTAACAAAAAGAGTTTAGGAAGATGAAGTCACCAGTCATTAGATTTTAATGAAGTATTAAAATCCTGAAGAGTGGTGATTGTGCAAATGTGAAGATTACGCCACAAAGCGACAGTATGATTGTATCAGTATGAGCCTCTTCTTCAGCAGTCCCACACACCTCTGCACAAGTTCCTCCATACGGTTGGATGCTTTCTCCTTCAGACGCAGCCTGAAAAATGTTTAGTACCAGACATGTGACTGCACTAGGCCCACGAGTGCAAAAAAAATAAAAAACAAAAACAAAAAAAAACCACCTGTGTCATATTTTACTGCGCATACCACTGTCAAATTTTATCTTACCCTTTTGCGTGTGTGCGTGTGTGTGTGTGTGTGTTGCTTTCTCCTTCAGACGCAGCCTGAAAAATGTTTAGTACCAGACATGTGACTGCACTAGGCCCACGAGTGCAAAAAAAATAAAAAACAAAAACAAAAAAAAACCACCTGTGTCATATTTTACTGCGCATACCACTGTCAAATTTTATCTTACCCTTTTGCGTGTGTGCGTGTGTGTGTGTGTGTGTTTCTGCTCCTTTCCTTCCAGGAGACGGAGAAGAGGTACATGCTCGCTTTAGACAACCTCAAGGTCAGAGATGTAGAGAAGGGCTTCATGTCCAGCAAATTCGCCTTCGCCCTCTTCAATTCTGAATCAAGGTCCGTGTGCCTCGAATGAGTGTATGTTTGTGTGTCAGTCAGTGAGATGATGTAGAGTAGGGGTGTCAGACTCATTTCGCATGTCTTTCCTTTGTTTTGGTATAGTGAAGCACAAGCACATTTGGAAAATGTTTAAATTTAATGCACATATCATTTACAAAACAATTCATAAAACACCTGAGATTTCCTTAGACAAATGTGCAATTTACTTTTATCATTCACACACGTATGCATTGCAACGGATCCCACTGATTGTACAAAGGCACAAAACTTTAACAAGTAATTGGTATTGAAAAATATAGTAATTTTAAAATTAAGATTAAACGAGAATTATAAAGAAAGGAATTTACACGTGCATATCAAATCTAAATGTAATCCCTGCCTACACTTTACAAACTAAAGAGAAAACAGTGTGCCCCTAGCGGATAATTCGTGAATTGCATTTTATTAAAAACATGAATTCTGTGTCTTTTATGCATTTTTTCACTTTTAAATTATCTTGCGGGCTTGATCGAACCTTCTTGGGGGCCGGTTCCGGCCTGAGGGCCGTATGTTTGACACGCATGGTCTTGGACATTCGGCCAAGTACAGTGGAGGAACGTTAGTTGACTTCCTACTTTTAACCAATCACAGCGAGGCAATGGTGAAGCATGTGGTATGGAGACATTAGTGGCGACCAAATAGACAGGTACAGTATTTTATGTTTCATTAAGTGGTAAAGTGTGCCTTGCTATTGACTGGCAACCAGATTAGGGTGTACCCCGCCTATTACCCGAAGACAGCTGAGATAGGCTCCAGCATGCAACGCGACCCTCATGAGGATAAACTGATCAGAAAATGGATGGATGGATGGATGGATCAAGTGATATAGGTTGTATGAAAATGGCATGAAAAAGTTGCTGTCTCATGCCTCGGGTGAGTTTGACTTGACCCCCGGTGGTTAGCACGTCGACCTGCAGAGGTACCGGGTTCAATCCCGGCTCCGGCCTGCCTGTGTGAAGTTTGCATGTTCTCCCTGGGCATGTGTGGGTTTTCTCCGGGTACTCCGGTTTCCTCCCACATTCCAAAAACATGCATGGCAGGTTGATTGGACACTCCAAATTGTGCCGAGGTGTCAGTGTGAGCGGGGATGGTTATTCGTCTCTGTGTGCGCTGCGATTGGCTAACCGGGTCAGGGTGTCCCCCGCCTACTGCCCGAAGACGGCTGGGATAGGCTCCAGCACCCACCACGACCCTTGTGAGGATAAAGCGGATCGGAAAATGGATGGATGGATGGATGGATGTTAATGGGGTATTTATAATATTTCAAAGGGAATATGCCTCATTGATTAAGCTTTAACACGAACCACGTATAAAAAATGCCAGTTTGAATTTAAAATCACTATCAATCACATTTTCTCCAGTTTGGTTACATCGTTGAGCGTGATAGTATGGCGACATCTAACGGACAAAATTCTAATCACCCACGGGGCAGATCGTCCTTGATTATTTATATGTGTTTAAATAAATAAAAAACGACTACAACATCTTTACTGTGAGTACAACTTGAGCAAAAACAATTTTCATAACTTTAACTTAAATGGTTACACAAAACAATGAAAGGATATAAAAGTCAAAATGAGCTTAATACCGCTACGACAGACCACAGGTGTTTTTAATTGCAGGACGTCCAGTAATGAAGAGCGTGACAACATAACTAAACGGCCCCGTTTGACCGTGAATAAGAGCTTTGAAATTAAGCTTTATATGTTTTTTACGGAAAAAAATAGCACAAAAATGACTTTAAACGACTGTCAGGTAGGTGTCAATTTGTCTTTTGTGGTACTTTTTTGGGATGTTAGCTAGCTAGCTAGTTCACCTGGAATGCTAACTAGAATGAGTAAAAACATACGACAGTTTTTGAAGTTTAAAATAGAAATATTTCATTTTCACGGCAGTTGGCTGTTATCCTCTTGCTGCTTCTTGGCTTCACGCACCACCAAGTAACAGGTAATTCTAAACAAACGCAAAGTAAGATGTGAAATGAGCACGTTAGCTTGTGCCAATGTGCTATGTATAAGCAGGAATCTGCGACGTGGAGATTTGCGCCACCAACCCAGAAAGGTGCGTCCTGTCTAAAGACGAGAGCACCTGCAAGTGTGTGGAAGGATTTTATGATGACAATTGTGGCAAAGGTAGGCTTGTTTGCGCCTCTCGCCTTTATTTTTGCACGATATCATCATTTGGGCTATAGAAATATATATACTACTGGACATTTGATGTCTCATTAAGAAAATCGGCCTGTTGCTACGGTACATGAGCTCTTCCTTGGTTCTGGCAGATCTGCCGAGTAAACAGGGGTTTCCGTCTATCTAACAGAAATATGACGTGGGTCTGTTAACTCGAACAGGGTGATATTGTGTAGAAGGCATGTGGCCCATTTTTATATTGCATTAAGACATGTAATGCATTAAAAAAACGTCAGTATTCATTTTTAATCTCCGAAAAACTGTTTTGGACTGTTAAAATGGTTGACGCTTCTCCAAGCAGAAAATGAATGGCTGTCACATTCAATATGGCCGAGACATCAGCATCCTATTCACTGCCCAGTGTCAACTGTACTGTGTATGTCTGTGATGATGTTGAGGCGACTGTTGTGACATCAATATAAGATTGAAACATGTCGTGACAAATGTACTAATGTTCAGTTTCAATGGACCCTGAGAGGTATTGATCATGATTACCAGAGGAAATTTTGATTCATCTCTAGTATTGAATTTTTAGTACATATTCCATTTGTTCAATTCCTCCTGAGAAAAAAACAACCCCTTTGCTTTGAAACAGATGCACACATCAAAGTCTTGTGCACTAAGACGTACATGGGAGTCAGAGCACGCGAAGAATTCTTCATGTATTACAACACGCCGGTCACGTCTTTGCACCTGCCCAATAGGTCATGCAAAGCATACAGGGAGGTAATCAACAAAGTTCCGTACTACATGGTCAAGGTAGCAAAAAATGAATACATCGGATGTGGAGGCAAATCGCTTGAGGTGCGTCAGCGCTCCAAAGTGTAATACTGACTGCTATTCAATACGACAGTTGCTCACTTGATCATTTTCATATTTCTTTTCATAGAAAAACTTCACTCATGTCACATACACCCTGAGTCTTCAATCAGAGCCTCAGGCCATTGGAAACATCATCAGAGATCCTGTCATCAAACTGGATTTCACATGCATCTTTCCATTCATCAGAACAGTCAGCCTGCCTTTTCCAGTTGAACCCATTTCCAGGTTAAGTCGCTTTCATTTTCGTTTCCCATTCTTATTCATAGAGCCGTGTGTTACCAAAACGTCCTGGGTTAGCAAATATATGAAAACTAACACACTTCTTTCAATGTGTAATTTGATTTGAGCAAGCCTTAAAACTATAGAATCCTGGCCTTTTTATCGGGCTGTGATTTGTTGCCAGTTGTGCTCGCTCATAACGTGAATGAAGATGTGTGCAAGAGAAAATGGATGGTTAGGTATAACCCACCTGACAACAATGATGCCTATAGTACCACTGTGGCCCAATTTAGTCTGTAGTCAAGGTCATCTGAATCATTTAATTCACTCTAATCTTCATAAATTTCTACCACTTCTTTGTCATATTCAGTGGATGGAGCAGGTTTAGTTGTCATGGCGACAGTTTAATCACCATTGTGGATATTCTATATATCTCATAGCCACTGCTGGCTATTCATCAATATACAGTTGGAGACACTTGTGAGCAGAAAGACTGCACATGTTCTAACAGTTTCTAACTGGGTGAGCAATTAATTACCTGACTGAGTTGTGCTTGGCTCACACAAACAGTGAGGCGATGGTGCGTGTCGATGAGCTAGATGCGACCATACAGATGATGTTGTACACGGATCATAGCTACACTACAGCTTTCAGCAGTGCCCCCACTGTTGAGCTAGGGGATCAGGTAGTCTCCAGCTTCACTCTTAATTCTGCCCGTATCACTCTGCATTTTGTTTTGAATATCCTTTGCCATGCGCTCAGGTGTATGTTGAGATCACCGTGACGGAGCCTGCAGACTTTTTCCTCCTTCGCATCAATGACTGCTGGGCCACACAGAGTCAGCAAGCCAATGCCTCGGAGGGATTGGTTCACAGCCTGCTTTTGAATGGGTTAAAACATCTCTGCATTGAAATAATCACGCTTGACTTGTCTCTTCAAAAGTGAACTCGTGTCAATGTGATTGTGACTCCTCTTTCCCGGTGTCTGTGTCAAGGTGTGCGACCGATGACACAGTTGCCTTCCACAGCCTGAGCGAGGGAGAGTCTGGCCTTAATGGGCAGAGCTCCACCATTCACTACAGCTTCGCCATGTTCCGCTTCCCA